TTTCCAGGACGCACAAAACCCTGACCCTCCCGCTAAGGGCAGTCCTCCAAATCTTGTAGGACCTCTCAACGTTCTGTTTCAGCCCTTTGGGCATGTAAGCCCCAATGCTCAGCTCCTTCACCCACGATTCCTTCACATTGTACTCTTTCATCACCCAAATCTCCAACCTCCCGTAGTTGCAATGAACCGCCGCTCCGAGGCAGCCCCTGACTGCGACGAGCGAGAGATTGCAGCGGTTCAATCCGCCACAATCCGGTTTAGGCACTTCCCTGAACTGCTCGTCCCCCAAATCCAACGAAATCAGGCGTCGGACCGGGTTGCACCGCCTGGGTCGGGTCACCCAATGGAGCCGACCGTTCACCAGAGCCTCGCCCGGTTTGCTGCGAAGGAAGTGGTGAGAGAATTTGGGCTGCGTTCTCCACCCTGATGAGGAACCAAGAGTCAGAATTTGGACATCGGACATCATCCTCCGCGACCCGACAGGTCGACCCGACCCACTGCTCCGACCCCTGCCCCGGTAGTACACTATTTTGATGACCTTGTACTCCTTGGTCCGTGGATGAAACCCGAACCCAAATACAACCTCTTGGCCGGCGTAGTGCTCCGATTTGGGGAGCTGGGTGAATTTTCCGGCGAATGGGTTGTAGACGTAGAGCGCATCGCCGTAGAGCGAATCGGAGAGGCAGAGCAGGCCGTTGCAGGAACCGATTACCTCGAATTCGGGCATGGATGGCCAGAAAGGTACTTGAATTCTCCTCACCCTGCTGTCCTCGGCGGCCAAATCGGCGAAGTAGATCTGGTTCCGGATGGGGAAGTCGCAGTGGAGGAGGAGGCAGGGAGCGGCGCGGCGGAGGGACAGAGCTACGAGTTCAGGGTCGACGGCAAGGACGCGCCAGGAGCGGCAGACGGAACGGAATTGGACCAATGAAGTGATGGGCAGGCGGGAAAGTATGTCCTGTACGAGCTCCGTCGGTAGGAGGTCCATCGGAGTGGCCGCCGACGGCAGGGAAGGAGCGTCGTCGTCGGTCTTCCGTCGCTTGGTGCAGTTGAAATCCATGGTTACTGAATTCCCCTGTTTTTTGGTTGCTCTACCAAGAAGAGGTAACCATGGATGGAAATCTCTTTAGAGGAGGAGAACGATAAATTTGAGACGGAAACCAGAGGGAGGAGGAGTAGAAGAATTGAGATGGGAGTGGGAACCCACCCACCATCTTTGAATAACTTCTTGCTTCTTTGGCCTTTAGTATAAAATTTATGGAAAAGGAACTATAAAAAAAACAAAAGAAATTCATGGGAAAGGAAGAAGAAAAGGGCTGGGAGAATTTTTTTTTTTTTTCCCCACTTTTCATCAAATGATCGCTTATTAGCCTATTTCATATTTGGTTAAGAAATTTGTACATCCAAAATCTAACCGTTTATGGATGAAAATTTCAAAAGTCAAGTTAAAAACGAAGGTAATATTAGATTAATAACGAGTGGTGTGGTATACAAAAGTTTTATCTCGAAATATATTAAAAATAAATTTTAATATGTAGATCACAATGAACTCGTTCAATTTGTGGAAAAAAAAAATTAAACCCAAGTTAAAACTAAAAAAATAAAAGGCCTATTAAAAATTAAATAAAAAAATCATTTAATCTCACTTCTTATATCCGATTCCATTTAAAAGCAGGAGCCAAGATCTAGCTATGTAAGGCGCATGTAACTTATGATTTTGCACTCTATCTTGAACCTTGTTGGAAATTGGAATAGTATAGCCTATAAGGTAAATATTTATTTTCTTAGTTGTAAAATGAGAACATCTTTTTAAGTAGCCATGCCTAATCTCAAGTAATGATACAAAATGAAATTTTTTTTTTATCATGTTCGAATCTTATCACCAATAATCATTCATGCTCGATACTAATTAAGCTATTAGTACACTGAATAGTTAAAAAATGTTAAAATGTTAAGGATGGTAGTTGAGCAGATTAATTTCTATCTCTTTATCCAATTTAATATTTGAGCATTTTATGAATTGATTGGGTACATCCAAATAAAAAGGCATATAAATAATAATGAAATTCCAATAGATATGAAGAACTTGTGAATCCCATTCCTTGTCAATGGGTGCATCAAACCCTACCACCTTGAAAGTGACCATCCAACACTTTTTTCCTCCCCCTTTAATTTGTCTTCTTAGATCCATTTTCTCAAGTCATTGAATAACATCAACAATTTTGGTTCATTATCCCTTTAGCTTACACCACTATTTTTATTATTTTTCTTGCGAAATTAATTTCCAGGAAGACAGCTGTCCACCTAAGCTAGTATTTGTCCATTACCAAAGGACTTTTGTTTAAAACAGACTTGCAAGATGCTTGGAATCATCCCTGGGTGGAAGAAATAAAAATGTTACTTCTTCCCCCTCTTCACATGGATCCCTGAAATTTTCATTTTGTCCTAGATCTATCCACAAATTTTTTTTTATAAATAATGTGTGGTTACATTAAACACAACTCAAAACTTTCTCTTACAGAAAAAGAAGCAACTCAAATGAGATCTAGTATCTTTTGTTTGTATCCATACTTTCCTTAAGCAAATGGGTATGAATGTGAGTTGTTAATTTACCTAATATACATGACTAGCACACTTAAATTACATTTTGAAGGAGAGAAAAGATAAAAGGAGTTAGTTACACACGAATTCGAACACAACGATATCTAATATCATTAAATAATGAGAAATAATTAAATAATTAAATAAATGAAGTCCGGAAGTTTAATTTTGCAGAGACACTTTTGGTATAAGATATTGTAAGATTCTTGAACTATGGGTTCAATAGAAGGTAGACCATCCTGATATGATTTTACCCTAGTCCTTTCCTCTCTCATTACAAGCTACAATACTTTCAAGATTTCCATGTTTCTTTAGTGTTCATTCGTGATTTATTGACACAAAATATATTATCACTATTTGGATTAACGCGTTTATGAGAATTCAGTCATTGACTAGTGCATTACTTATTTCAAATTTCAATAGTTAGTCGTTGTTCAAGTGATCAGGGGTGGAACCACTCACAAGAATGGGTTGTCAATTGACAAACCTTGGATGTAATATTAGAACAAAATACCTGTGTAAAATTTTAGTTTGGTAATAGTAGTATTTCGATTTCAAATTATTTGATAACCCTTATAAAATTTTGTCATTTGTTGAATAGCATTAATGAAATATCTGGGTCCGCCACGGATCAATCCTTTGTAAAGTAGTGTTTCTGCGTGATGTCTTTGGCCATCATCACTTCTGGGGTTGGATTCGTTGCAAACTGCAGTTCAGCACAATGACAAAACTAATCAATCTAGGAATAAAAATAAGATAGAAGAAAAATTTGTGGGTAAACAAAATCCAACGGCCACAATGACAGCAGCATTATTAATAAATACTTCGATCAGCTTCAATCATCTCCTTAACGCATCTCATAATTATAAAGAAACTCCTTATCGTATCTCTTATGGATATATGTCATTAGAGAATATTATTCAAGGAAACCAATTACCGTACGGCTTAAATTTGTGATTAGTACGATAAAGAAAAAATGTGATTAATAATAGACAATATCAGTCCCCACAAACAAAATGATCAGTCTAGTCCGTTCGCTTGAGCCCAATCACAATATTGGGGTAGAAGATGAACAAGTCCGAAGGAGCCCATGTGACAATGGGCTTGACCCCTCTCTGTGATGACAATAGACGACGTAGGCTCGTCTGTTTTGCATCGCCTGCTTTAGTTTTGGACATGTTGATTCAAGCTCAGAAACGTATAGAGGTAGCTCGGAGGATTCTGAAGCGGTTCAAATGGTTATTATGCTAATTAAAAAAAAATGAATTAACTTGTAAATTTTACTTTGTGGTTGATTACACAGCCCTGTTCTCAGCAAACTCAACATGTGGTAGGAAATCTTCCCAAATTTTGACGTTGCTCTTTTTCACGGCTCGCAACATTTGGGATAAAGTACAATTTACCCAATTTGTCCATCTGTTTGAGGATGAAAAGTCGTAGAAAACAAGAGCATCACCCGAAGTTTGCTCCACAACGTCTTCCAGAAATAGCTCAAAAACTTTCCATCTCGATCATACACAATGGTACGTGGCATGCCATGCAATCTCACGATCTCTTTGAAGACAATACCCAACACATTGATTGCATCATCAGTTTTATGGCATGGAATGAAGTGTTCAATCTTTAAGAAATGATCCACCACCACAAAAATTGAATCTCGGCCTCTTCTAGTTCTCGGCAATTCTAGCACAAAATCCATAGATATGTTGACACAAGGTGCATAAGGAATAGGTAGTGCCATGTACAATCCAGATGATTGTACCTTCGACTTTGCTTGTTTGCACAGCTTTTAATACGAGGTCAAAGAAAGTGCTCTTACAAACAACTCAATGTCTTGCCTACACCAAAGTGAGCCATCAATCCGCCTCCATGAGCCTCCTTCAACAATAGTTCTCGAAATAATGTTCTTAGTATGCATAATTGATTACCACGAAGGAGATATCCATCACTTCTGTAGAACTTTCCCTCTCCATGCTTCTCACAAGCCTTGTAGATCTCTCGAAGTCATCCAATTCACATGACAATGTTGACAAAATGTCACCAAATCAGCAAAGTCCTTACTCTAGTGAGCATGGAAGATGACCCGTGAAAATTTTGTAAGAAATTGGTCGTTTTGGGTATTCCCAAAAATAGCTATTATTGTGCTGTATAAAGTATATATTTGCATTAATAAATTGTCATCTAACCAGCTTTCATGCCTCAGCTAATGAAAGACAAAATTGATGTCAATAGCGGCTATCCGTAATACCAATCACAAAACTAGTAAAAAAACAAACGTCACCCGAATTAATTATATCGAGAATATATGGCGTTCTCCGCCAAGCAGAATGAACCGATTAAATCAAAGGCCGTTGAAGCCTTGAAATAGAACACAAAGACTGGGAAAGCAAGGAGTCGGAATGATGAGCAAAATTCTGTCTCTCCCTCGAGAAATCGTGGTGGACATAGTTTCAAGGCTGCCCATCTCGTCCCTACTCCAAATCAAGCTTGTCTGCAAATCGTGGCGCCAACTTCTCCAAGACCCTCACCTTCCTTCCCTCCATTTCTCCCGACTTAATACCACCATTTCATCGGATCCATGCCTTATTCTACACTCCAGGTATATATATCGCAAGATCTTCCGACGTTTTCTGCCACCAAAATAAATAGGCATAAGAAAGAAATAATACCATCGCTTTAAAAGTTAAGCGTACTTATTTATTTTGTTGTTCATGTTATTCTAATTCTTTCGTGAAGTAGTTCCAATATTCAGAAAAACATATATCTAAATATTCCCTCTTCTTTTTGAAATAGAGAGTTGGACTGCTGAATAATAATTTGATTAGCGGAAGCAAATCGCGGGACGGTGGGAGATAGTACAGGTAGATGATCTAACAAGTAGGGTTATTTTGGAATAAGGGAATAGACATTATAAAAATTGAATTTACGATTATGGTTTGATGGGGAGTCATCTTACGGTAACGGATTTTGAGAAAAAAAAAAAAAAGTTTACTCATACCACTCGTTACCTTCTTCATACCATGTGCAATCACCTTCATTTTGAAGTCGATTTTGAAAAAAAATTCACAGAGGGAATGAACTCATCATGATCTATTGGATCTACAAATTTTTCGGGAAAAAAAATACGAGGCCAAAATATACCACCTCATACCACCCTAGTATATGGATGGTATCTTGTGGTACACAATGTTTAAAGTTGTAAATGACAGTTAGTATATTCACACTATTTTTTTTGACAAGTTAGTATATTCACACTATTAATGTCAATATAATTGTGAAGTGCACAATTGATCTTATTTATCTGTTAAAAAAATTAAATTCAGAATTAAAAAAAAAGAAATATAGCGCATTAAAATTTAGAGAGAAACAAATTGTGATCATTCCATAAATAATGATGTGACGCTGATTAATAGCAAGCCGTTTCTAAGTTTGAATACTTACTACGTCAACCCATATTAGACAAAGTAATCTCTTTTAGTGTTAAATTTTCCCCCCCTTTCCTGCCAATAGGAACTGCGCCCACAACGAGCTCTACTTTTTAGATATGTGCTCCTTGGTTAAAGAAGACGATGGTCATCCTAACGAGAATAACTTGAAGAAACTGATTGTGCCACCGACGATTTTGAAGTTTGTCGTGTTGGGTTCCTGTCGTGGGATCCTTTGTTTCGCGAACTTGTCACAGCGCGCAGCGATTTACCTTTACAATCCTCTTCTAGCCGAATTAAAAGAGATCCCCAAAACTATTTGCGGCCCAAGCTACAACATGGGATTCGGTTTTCACCAGGGTAAGGGGCAATACAAATATTTTTATCTACCTCTTAAATTTGTCTTGTTTTTTTTTTATGTTGCAATTTTGATCTCATAGACTCAAAATTACTATAGAGACGAAAGAGTATAAATTGGTGACGATCGTGGCCGTGGTGGACAGAGACTCTCTCCAATTTAGGACAGCAAGATCGTCGGGGTCGGCTTTATCCGTTATAACCCTAACGGCCCAGAATGGAACACGGCCCAATGAGCCCACGAGTTGGAGAAAGATTAGGCTTAGTGCCTTACCACTTCGTCCACCAGGCTCACCAGGTGCTCGTTTCTAGCCGGCTTCACTGGACCGCTTTTCGCAGGACTCGAGGGCCCAACAAGCTTGTGGTGGTGTCGTTTGATCTCTCCGACGAGGTAGTTCGAGAGGTCCCTATGCCTTCGATTTGCTCGTGTGAAAGGAACTGTCGGTGTAAGTTGGAGTTAATGGTCGTTGGAGCTCGTCTTGGCATTGTAGAGTATGATGTTGGTGGGGAGATCAAGATTTGGGTAATGAAGGATTATGGCGCGGAGGAGTCTTGGGCTAATGAGATTTACATTAACGGGGTCGACATTAATCGTGACGGTGATGAAACAATTTCGTCGGATAATATTGGTTCAGCGAGGAGATTGCGCACTTATTTTCACGAAACCTCGGATTTTAGGGTTTTGTGGGTGATGAGAAATGGAGAGGTCTTGCTGGAGTACAAGAGGAGAGGTTTGATTTGTTATGATCCTGGAAATAGGACTTGGAGAGATGTTTTGCCACAGGGAGGAGGATTGTTTGTTAATGGGTTCAATGCATTTGTTCATGATGGTAGCTTTTCCGAGATTGATTGTTGACCATTGTATCCAAAAAGTCAGTTATATAGTATTTTGTGTTTAAATCGTGATTTAACCATTGTTCACTTGAGTTATAGTAGGCAATTTTTTCAAGCGAACCGCCAGTATAATATGGTTTTGCAAACACTGAAACCCCCTAGAGAACAAAAGAGAACAAAAAGAAGCTGGAAATCCTCTTACCTTTTCCCTTCCCTTAGTTGGATTTTGATCATTGCCAGTCTCAAATCAAGGGCAACGTTAGGAGTACCGAAACAACATGCTAGAATGTAGGACCTGCAGGTTGGAACCACGTCGGAAATTAGGAGAAGAATTTAGTCTATGAGTATGGGGGCTTATGAAAAATAAATGGAAACAAACACACTAATGAAACGCTCATAGGGTTGATCTGATTTTGGACTTCTAGATATGGGTTGTCTAAGGGGAAAGATTAAAAAAAATATATATATATAGCATTGTTGCGTGAGAATGAGATACATTCGGGGAAAAAACATAATTGGGAGGTTCATTTCAGTGCAAAATTAACCCAAATCCAAACGCATAAAAGAAGCTAGGAGACCGAAGCCCTTTCTGAAAAGGTTAACGGGTCGTTTGTTTGATGGAGTTTGTGATGGATTTGGGTCTTAAATCCAACTCCTCATGGACTTGGGGAAAAAGCCATTGTTTGTTTGTGTCATTTAGGGGAATCAAATCCATGGGGGCCACAGACTTTTGGGAGCCAAATCCGTGGACCCCACGGAGTTCCAAGTTCCAGCTCCATAGATGGGATTTCGGTGATGGCTGGAAGTCCATGATGGCCTTTTACTTCCTTATCCTCACATAACCTATTATTGCCAAGTTTAACCCTGAAACCCTTTTTCCCCCAAATTCGACAGACAAAGAGAGAGTGGTGGCTGGGCAGCGGGAGAAGGACGAAGCAATCGTGTCTTGTGTCGTCCACCAATCGCGAAGTGCACGGGCTGCAGGAGAAAGAGGACACGAGCAGAACACAATCGAAGATATCGCCATCACTGGTTTATTACTTCGTCGCTGCAACTCAGGTGTGTGAATTTCTCCTTTTGTTTCTCATCTATGTCTGTCTTTCATGGTGAACCCTAGAATGAAAGTTATGTTCCTTTCTTGCTCTTGCTTATGAAAGCTCTGTTTTTTCCAATTCTCCATATTTTCGACAATCCAAATCTCACACAGAAGCTGATAGACCGTCCTTTTTTGTTTTTTCTCCTGCGTTTCTTCCTGATTTAGCATACAGAGAAACTTATATTAATTTAATAAGGGATTGAGGGGATTTGATGTCATTGATTAATTCATAAACGATAGAAGCATGTGTTGATGTCATTGCTTGTGGTCATATTTTGTTTTAGCATACCGAGAAGTTGTTCAGGTAGACATTTTGAGTTGGTTTGTGATTGAATTTATTATTGTGAATTGGAACTTTGCTGAGCGTTCTGTTAATATTCCCTTTTTTAGTGGATAATCCCTCTTTCTTTGCTGCAGATTATGGACCAAGCTCATGTTGTTATATGCTTGCGGGAGGAACTCTGCAACCTATTGAAGAGGCAGCAGAGAGACTCTTCCCATGGCTACCATATGATCAGTTGTATTTCTTTTCCTGTGGTCTTACTATCCCTCCTCCGAGCATTTTCCCATTGCAGTTTCTCATAGCCCTTCTGGCTAGTGGCTAGTCTTTCTATTCCACAAGAAGCTCGTAAAATGAGTTGAAGACTATTGATTGCTTTCGTAAACATATATGATATTGTAAATCAAGTTGATGATGTACTAATTAGGAAGATTAGTCTATTGTATAGTCAACTGTTGAACTCATTTGGTATATATCATAATAAGTTAAACTTTCTCTCTCATTTATGTTCATTGTTATAGATCTTATTCCATGCTTTGTTGCATCTAAAATATAAAGGGCAATAAGGTCAATTGTAGTTCACACCCATAAATCCAATTAAGTAAAATCCATCATGAAATTCAATAGACAAACAATGGTTTGTTTCAAATCCATAATGAACCAATTCCATCGTAAATCCATGGTTTTATAAAACCCAGGTTTTAACCAAAACCTTCATTTTTCAAATCCATGAAGCAAACGACCCGTAAATGCATTTGAACTCAACCAAATCTATCTTAGTGAACAGTAACATCAATTAATCTTTATATAATAAAATTAATTAATATGTCAACATGAGCCATGATGTCCTTGTACGTGTTACTTGAAATAATGGAAGCATGATGAGCATGTAATGTTTTTGAAACAATAGACGGAGACGAAAAATTACATTGATTTTGAAAAGGAAAAATGTATAAAATAAAACTGTCTACCATTAATGATCCGAGCCGAGTTGAGTTTTGTCATAGTTCGGGCTCGGCTCGTTAATATATTTCCAAGCTCGAGCTCGAGCTCGTTTATGAAAATGAAAGCTCGAGCACGGTTCGAGCTCGGCTCGTCAAATAAGTTTAACGAGCCCAAAATCGAGTTAAACTCATAAAATGTTCATAATAGCTCAAGATTGACCTATAACTGGGCAAAAAATCGCATTCAAACCTATAGCAAAGTCTAGCAAAACAAAGCACAATATTTATTCCAATTTTAAGACATAAAATCCATGAATTTTAATCTTTTCTTATGCCAAAACGTTATATAAGCTTATTCGCGAGCTTTCGAGCTGAACATGATATGGCTCGAGCTCGGCTCGTTTAGTTAACGAACTTGTTCGCGAGCCGGCTCGATTAACACGAATCGAGTTTCGAACGAATTCTTCTCGAGTCGGATGCCGAGCTGTTCATGAGCGGTTTGGTCCATTATCATCCTATCTACCATATGGTACGTAGTATAAGCTTATTCGCGAGCTTTCGAGCTGAACATGATATGGCTCGAGCTCGGCTCGTTTAGTTAACGAACTTGTTCGCGAGCCGGCTCGATTAACACGAATTGAGTTTCGAACAAATTCTTCTCGAGTCGGATGCCGAGCTGTTCATGAGCGGTTTGGTCCATTATCATCCTATCTACCATATAACAAACTTTGTTAGCGCTTATACTACGTACCCTTGAAGCTAAAAGATTAATTTTGTTCCTTCATCATTGGCAAAATTTATCCATGTCATTCCTCTGGCTCCCACAATTATTTTCATCTCCACTACTACCACTGTGCACCTAGCTAGCTACTTACTTTTTGCGACATAATACTTTGTCTTATTATTACTTAATTAATACGATGATTAAAAGTTGCAGGGCACTTCCAAAATCTTGTGGAAAAAGATAAGAAAGTGAAAGGACTAGGCATATGGTTAATAATTGAGTTGCATAGTTGCCTAGCTGAATATTGGGTCCATTCAATTGCTCACATGGAACCTTTTTCTTTGGGGCAGAATACTATGACTACCCCAAAAGGGGTTGGGTTTTTGACACCCCCTCCTGCAGCTATACACGTGTCCTTCATCTTTGGGTAAGTACTAATGATTATTGCTTTATTGGGAAGTTGTCATTATTATTGCTTTATTGGGGAAATTCCCATAATAATGATGCATGTGAAAGTTCTCATAATAATGATACATGGGAAAACGACAATCTTTCATCTCCCCTTCTCTTCCTTTCAAATTTCTTTCCACCAGAACCCTCTCCCGGCATCTTCTCAGTCCAGCAAACCCTCCCTCCGGCGGTCCACCCTCCGTCGGCCAACTTCCATCAGCGGCCCAACTTATCGTTACCTCCCTTTCCGCCGACCCTCTCCCGTCCCTCCGTTCCCCTCGAGTCTCCTCTCCTGCGCCATCGACTTCATCACTTCACACGGTCGGAAATCATCAAGATGATCTGGACGATTTCGTCTCTAACGTCGAGCATATGGAAGACGGCGGCAGAGGAAACGCACTAGTGGAGTGGTACGTGTACCAGTGGAGTGGTACGTGTACATCGACTTCATCACTTCACGCGGCCCGAAATCATTAACGTCGAGCATATGGAAGATGGTGGCGCTACCGTGAAAGTGGAGCCAATTAGAGACGCCGAGGAACACCAAAACAATCTAAGTAAGGATCTGTATTCATGTCTCGTCGACTTCTCCCGTCCGACAATGTACCAGTGCACTAGTATTTTGTATCATTGAAGTGATACAATGCCACTGCAATGGTATTTTCCCCCTGAAAAGGTACAGACGGACACCACTGGTTATTGAAGCTGCGTAAACAACCTAGTTGCTTTGCATTAGGTGTTGTCAATACGGTCGTAAACTAGTATATTTGTTTGAATGAACATGTATCAGTGACATGACAAGAGTAGCAGTGCTTACCCTTAATGTTGTGGTTTTATGTACCAGTCTAGTGATACATTGTTCCGGGACCAATATTGAAGTTTGTAAACTTGTTTTAAAATTGTTGAGGGACGAATTTCTAGATGAAATATCGATGTTCAAACGTTACCACTGCAGCATTAGATATAATGTACTTGTACCACTGAAGTGATACATATACCACTGAACTGATACATGTATCACTAAACTGATACATGTACCACAGAGAGTATGACATGAGGGAATTTACTGGTATTTGTATCATTGAAGTGGTACTGCATTGTTGCTCCATTATTGTTTATCATTGCTATGAAAAATATCATTGCACTGGTATTGTTCTCACTCCAACTCGTATTTGCGACTTCTAATGTACCACTTCATTTGTATTTTGTATGGGAGAAATACACTACACGCCACTAAACTATAAGAATTGGGGGAAGGATACTACTAATGTGAAAATAGAGCACCAAATACCATTAAAATTCCCAAAATATGCATCCATTAAATTCTTCATTAATTTGATTAACTAAATGAATACAATATATTTTTCCACCTCAAGCCTCTTTAACTTTCGTGGAAACTCGACATTAAGAGTTGATGGAACGTGCTCTCACTTTGCAAGCTCCCTAATCGCTCTCACTTGTAGTCCGGAACGTGCTCTACTCCCTGCTCCGTGCGATTTGTCTTTCCTAGCGTGCATCCGACGCCGCT